AAATAAAAAAAAAAGAATTAAAGGAAAAGCATTCACAGTATCTGACAAGGTGTATTATATTAGCAATGGCTCTTCCCAGCCTTAACTGTCTGAAATTCAGCAATGCCCCTCCAATCTCAGGAAATATCTTCAAGTCACTTATTGGGTATTCAAACTATGTAAAGGTAAGTGTGGGTATATATAAATGGAACCACAGACTATCTTTAAGTAGCTGTGATATAATCCAGAAACAAATAGCTCTATATAAATGACCAAAGACATCACCAACCTTATGCAGTTAATGAAAGGTCCTAGTGTTACCTGTATTAGTTACCAATTTCTAGGTAACGAATTACCTCAGAACGTAATGGCTTAAAACAATAACCATTATCCACGGTTTCTGTGGGTCAAAAATCTGGGAGTAGTTTAGGAGAGTAGTTCTGGCTTAGGCTCTCTCATGAGACTGCAGGCTGGATGTTTGCAGGGACTGTGGGAGGATCTGCTTCCAAGGTAACTCCTCGCGTGGGTGGCAGGTTAACACTGGCTGCTGGCTGGAGGCCTCAGTTTCTCATCACTAGACCTCTCCATAGGCTGTTTGAGTGTCCTCACAACATGGCAGCTCACTTCCCCTAGAGCAAAGGATCCAGAAGAAAAGCATTTGAAAGCAGCAATGTCTTTTACGACCTAGCCTTGGAAGGTCATTTCTACCACATCCTACTGGTTATACAGGTCAACCTTATCCACTGTGGAAGTGGACAATATGGGAACATGAATACAAAGAGGTCAGGATCACTGGGGCCATCTTGGAGGGTATTACACAATCCTTAGCAAAATATTGATGAAAACAGCCTCAACTGCCTTCATTTCCCTTAGAGTTGGTCTAGAATGTGTTCGGTTTACATAACATAAAATTTACACCATTTTTAATTGTAGAAGCTTTGTGGCATTATGCTGTTGTGCAACCATCACCATCATCCATCTCCAGAACTTTTTCATCCTCTCCAATTGAAATTCTGTGACCTTTAAACATTAACTCCAATAGGCTCCTCTATTTAAAGCCTTCTCTCCTGGAGGTGCTCACCTCTGCAAGTCCTTAGGCTTCCCAAGGGTTCTGCCTACCCTAATGGTGCTTCAAGTTCTGGATCTTTCCTTCCCTTAATTCCTAACTCCACTCTATCTCCCCTACCCACTCCCTTGACCCATTAGCTCGTATCATCCTAGGTGTCATTTTTTTCAGGTTCCTCCTCTATTCTAGATGATATTAGAGGTAGCTGGCTTCTGTGACACAGTAATTAGCTAGCTGATAAATAATCCCTCTGAGGTAACCTCATACCTTAGGTGAGTTGGAAAGGATATGTCTTTTCAAGGAGGCCCTTGGAGAGTGTCCAGATTTAGAATTCATGTGGAGGAGGTGTTCTTTAGGTTGGAGTCTTTTAGCATCTTTCAAATCTTTAAGTAGGTAGCTGCCTACTTTGCCCACTCCTGAGGCTGGCCATGGAAGCCAGAGGCGGAGATGACATGTTTGATTAAATACGAACTAAGCTAGGCAATAATTTGCCATTTGACTTTAATTTCCTAGTGCCCTATAGCCTCCATTTGTGAATAAGAAAAATAAACATATGAGAAGGCAGTTGAATCCTGGAAATTTAGTTGTAATGATGCACCCTAAAATGCAAGTTAAAAAATGAGTGAAAACTAACAACTTGATAGTAACAACTAATTTACTTGCAAAGTTTTTTAAAAAAGTAATTTGTAGAATTATCATTATGTCCCTATAGAAGACAACCATTATCCCTATTTTATAAAGATGCTTAGACATAAGGAGGTTGTCAGACTAAAGCAGGGAAAAGGGTTGGAGATGGAAGAAGAAAGTGTGGGTGCTGACATTGCTCCCTTCCAGTCATTTCCTCCACCTCCCAGAGGTGTAAAAGAAGTTAGCTAGGGCTACAGGCAAAAGCCAAAAGGTGAGAGCCACGTGTTCCCTGGCTTTGGTCTCTAGCCAGGTGCCAAGATTGCCATCCGTCTAGCCTGCCTGGAGGGTCTGTGTGTATGAAGTAGTCAGGTACATTGATTTTGGAATCGGACGAACCTGTGTACCCCTTTCACTTGAGAGATTTGGGGCCTGCAGCAACTTAGTTAAACTTTCTGAGCCTCAATTTGCTCATCTACCAAAGAGGGTAATTATAATACCTGCCATAAACAGGAAGTAAATTCCTTCCATTTAACTATGAAGAGTAATTTAATTATTGCTAGCCCCTAAACCCAGCCTCAGCTCTGGGCCTTACTTTGCATATCCAAAGACTCAATAACGTGCTCAATAATAATGGGCCTCTGTTCCAGTTCTCACCCATTTCCCTTCTATCACTGAGCTCTACAAACTGCAGGAAGAAGAACAGATTTATTTCTCCATCATATGAATCATGGCATTCTTCTGGCAGAAGCAGCCAGGGTCACGGTTCGTCTTGTTTTTGTTAGGCTTAAAGAATTCACCCTCCCCAAACTTCCATCCAAACCTCCTGTAAAACCCACTGCTCTCCCCTTTCTTTGGGTGTGTTAGGCACCTAGTCTTTGCCAGACCCTAGGGAGATAAAGGAATGGAATGCAAGAGGGGAACTTACTTTCCTTATCCCTCCCAGTTGTTTGAAAATAATTTATTTACTCCCCCTGGAAAACCTCTATAAAACCCAAGGCTCTCCCCTTCTCTCTCATGGATACCTTTTTCAGCTTCCACCCATCTGCACCAAGATGCTCAAAATAAACAGCATTTGGCTACACAGGAGCTTCATGTGTCTCTCAGCTCCAGACCTAACAGTTTTGTACTTTTTAATTGAAGTATGATATACAGAAAAGTGCCCAAATCAAAAGAAAATAGTATGATGAATTTTCTCAAGGTGAAAATAACCACTATCCTGACTTCTAACACTGTATAGTAGTCTTTGCTATTTTTTAATTTTATCCAAACAGAAGTATACAATAGGTATTCATATGTAGCTGCCTCTGTTGCTCAATATTATATATGTGAGATTCATCCATATTATATGTAGTTGTTGTTCATTTCATTTGCATTGCTGTAAAATCTTCTCTGTGAATATACCACAACTCATTTTCCCATTCTACTGTTGATGGACATTTGAATAATTTCCAGTTTTTGAGTACCATGAATAGGGTTGCTATGAGCATATGGACACATTTCTGTTGAGTATATATCTAAGGGTGGAATTTGGATTATAGGTAGGCATGTGTTCAGCTTTAGTAGATATGCCAGTTTTCCAGTGTCCTTGTGTCCAATACAGGTTTGAAAAAACAATGGTTTTCTTTATCATAAACAGACAACACTGTGTTTTTATTATAGCATGTACCACATGGATTTAGAAAATGTGTTCATATGTCTATGTGCCCCACTAAACTGCAACCTCTTTGAGGACAGGGCCTATGCCATTGGACTTGATATTGAATGTATATCCCACAGTGAATGCTCAATAAATATTTGTTGTATGTATGAACTAATGAACTTACAGGAGTTCCACAAATTGCCATGAAGTTTAAGCTCAGGTAATGTGGGTTCTTAGAACCTCAAGCTTTGTTATGGTAAATGCTGTTTTCTTATATAATCATCCCCCAAAATCTAAAACACATTTGTATGATTCCACAGCCTCTTTACAACATCCAAACCAACCAACTGTTCAAATGGAAAGCCTCTATCTTAAGTATTCTGGCTCTGGTCCACAATACCTCTCCTGGATCAGACCTGGCTTAGGGATCCCCGTCCACATTTAGTGATGGTCTCGGCATGAAGGATGAGACACAATATGCCTTGAGAAGAGATAATATAATGCAGACTGGTAATAAGATATGGGAGTCTAATGAAACAAAGGCTATGTAAGAAGATGTAGGTAAGAAACATGTCTTGGGGTACGTAGTATATAATGAGACACAGGG